AGTAGTGACAGCCATAGCATAGGTCTAGGCTAGAGACCATAGTTGACAGGATCCCTGTAAGGATTCTGTAAGTCTTAGATTGAGTCTATAGGTTTGTCAGTTAGGGGTTAGAGTCTACGTGGTGAGGAGTGTAATCATCCTGATTGTGCACCTATCACCATGGTTGAGACCCGTACTGAGGTTAGAGACTAATCCCTATAGTCAGGAGCAGCAAGAAAAGATGGCCGCCTTAGTCAGAGAGAACAGGGAGAGGAAAGAGCGTGAGAAGCAAGCGAAGCTAAAGGCTATCGCAGACGAACAGGCGGCGAAGATGAAGAGATTGGAGGAGGAGATGAAGAAAGTACAACAAGAGGAAGAAGAAAGAAGAAAAGTTGCTGAAGCAGAAGCGGCAGCAGAAGAAGAGAAAGAGAGGATGAGGATTGAGAGTGGAGAAGGGAGTAGTGCTGGCTCGATGACGAGGGAGACAGATACAGGGCTGGAGAAGAGGATCAGCGAGTGGGTCGCTAATTTATCGTTGGGAGAAGACGAGGAGGCGGAGTCCTATGTGACTAAGGATGAGAAGGTTGCGCTGGCCGCTGAGCTAGCAGCCATGACAGACCCGATGGAACGAAGAGAGAGGGAAGACGAGCAAAAGTTAGCATGGAAGTTGAGAATGAAGAGGGAGAAGAAGAGGAGGAGAGAGGAAGTGAATAAGATGACCGCAGCAGTGGCAAAGGTGCAGGAGTGTAGAGCGGAGGTGCTGGCCCAACCAGACGATAAGGCCAAGTCGGACAAAGTACTGGGGTACCTGGAGGTGTTGAGCAAGGCCTGGATGGAGGAGAACCAGGCAAGCTGGAGCCAGGATGTAGCGTTGAGTGCCATGCGGTCAGGGTTTAGAGATTTTGCGCGCGAGATCGTCACCCATATTGGGGGCGAAGTGAAGCAATTGAGAGATAATGTAGGGAAGTTTTGTGAGGGCGCCATTCAGGGTGCCAAAGCTGTAGCCGCTGTAGAGGGAGAGGCCAGACCCCGTAAGGACCCAGTGAAACTCAAGTTCCCAAATGCGTACGGGGGGAAGAAGGAAGAGAACTTTGACAACTGGGAAGCCAGTGTCAACAATTATATTTACTTGCAGCATATCCTAACAGAGGAGCAAGTCCTCGTGGCCTTCCAGGCCCTGAAGGACGAAGCGGCTAGCCTTACGTTGTATTCGGGGGAAGACTGTAGGCTCTTCGGTGTCAGGCCATTTTAGGCCTCAGTAGTAACCCCCATTTTGGTAGTAGTAACCCCCATTTTGGTAGGAGCTTTGGCGGCTAGTCTTAGCTGAGTAGTGGTATGGAAGCCCTCCCCTCGCGGAACTGGGCATCTGCTATTTTTTTCCATGCGGAAAGAATGCCGCAGGCAGCCTTGTCTGACCTGGAGCATACGATGGCACCAGTACTGTGTCTATGTTTTACCGAAGGGAACTGGGGTAAAGCTCCCTGACAAACTCTGAAGCCTATAGACGGGCATGGCCCGAGCACGTTGTCCCAAAAACAAAGAAAAAAAAAAAAAAAAAAAGAAAGGGACAAGAACAGAGGCCGGGGACCTCACAATTCAACTCGGATTGCTGAAAAACAGGTCCAGCATCCCATCTTGGGTGCCTTTCACATGCACGGGTGCATGGTCATGTTGCACGAGAAGAAGTTCATTCTCATTTTGCACACGCACGGGAAGGAGAGGGGATTTCGATGAGAGAAAAATATAGATTATGTTAGTTAAAAAAAATAAAATGAATTGAGTGGATGGACAAGGGGCCGAGGACCGAGTCCCATCAGCAGCGTTGAGTTTCCCCAACGCCTGAACTGAATCGGGACGTGTTTGAGGAGAAGCGGGATGTGTTTGAGGAAATGTGCATAAAGAGTGTAGAGCTTCTTCGACCGCACATCTCCATAAACACGTCCAGATTCGGGTGTTGAGGAGACTCAACGCTGCTAGTAAGATTTTTATTTATTTTTTAATTATTATTTCTTTTTATCCTGGTAAGATTTGGCCGCGGGAGGAGGGGGGGAGCGAAGGCAGTGGAAAGATGAGGGAGGACGGGCTACTATCAAGAGGCCGAGAGGAGGAAGGCGAGATTGCAAGGTGTTCTCACGGCCACTCACTGTTATGGCGGCAGACGGCATTGCCATCGCGGTGACACACATTTTCGCCATGTGATCACTGCCATCGCGGTCGATGGTGCGACGGTTGTGCAGTGCGGTGAGTCGACAGCGGGATTGCAGTGCAGTGCAGTGCATTCTCATCGCTATGGCGTGAGAGAGAGAGGAGATTGTGGTACTAGGCGGATGTTGCGGAAAGATGAGGGAGCTCCGGGAGCAAAGGCTGTTCGGACTGCTCCATGTGGAGAGACGAGGGAGGGTGAGCGTCTTGGCCGGGTGGACTCAATGCCACCCCCAAAGTGCAATGACAGGAGTTGGCAAATCCGCGTCTGCAAGAGCCGGCAAATCCGCCTCTGCACAAGTCAGTGAGTGAGCGGACAGCATTTTCCTGCTGGGGTGACAGCCTGTCGAGCCCTGGGGTTTCCGTTCCTTGCATACCCCACACCATGCGAGGAACGAAAACCAGACGACCGCCGCCGTTGGCCAAGATAAAAAACCGCCCACCAATGAATGAATGGAGGCGTTAAAAATTTGAATCACTATTTTACATAACGTGCTGACTTTATCTCCTCTCCTTGCCATCTTCTGCAGTCCACGGCTGGATAGAATGTCGGGTGTGCGTGCGTGCGGCATAGGGCGGACCAAAACCTTCACATCCCGTAGCGGGACTTGGCCCCTGGAGTCTTTATTTTGAAACATACATGTTCGCGTGGAGTAAATAAAACAAACAAGGGAAAGCACTGAAGTCTTGCAGGCATTTCACGAGGAACTCTTGAAACGCCTTTCTTGAGTCTGTATGGCCAGGGCCGAACTTTTGAACAATTGAAAAACCCCTTCAAGAGGTGTATGGCCAGGGCCGAACTTTGGAACTCTTGAAGGGGTTTTTCACCCATTTCACGAGGAATGCTTTCAAGAGTCTGTATGGCCAGGGCCGAACTTTTGAACAATTGAAAAACCGTTTAAATTTCAGTTGTGGCGGGGCGAGGCCCTTTTTTCTTTCCTTTTCTTTTTTTCAGCAAAACATCTTGGAGGGGCCTATAATGCCGCTATTCGTGGAGTCGATAGGAGCAACCCCCTATGAACAGGACCCCCGATGGAGATGGCCCTATTTATTTATTTTATTATTATTATTATTATTATTATTATTATTATTATTATTATTTTTTAGAGAAACATCAATGGCGCAAAAGCACCTGCTAGCAGGGCCGAGGTCCCACTAGCAAAAAGGACAGGATCGAGCTCGTGAATCTGGATGTGCCTTAAGCAGAGATGCAGAAATGCAGTTCAATCTCTATTTCCTGCACATCTCCATAAACTCGTCCAGATTCGGTCATCTGATCCGATCCTCTTTGCTAGTGGGACCACGCCCCAGGAGTTGGTAAGAGCATCCTCCTCTAGCAGGCTTCGCAGGGTCGATGGCTCCAATCTGCTGGTGGGGAGCTGCACCTGCTGGGAACGGGGTCCAGCGTCGCTTTGACGACATGCACCAGGAGCCGAGATGGCACTATTTATACCTGACTGATGAATGAGTGCAGAGCAAGTTCAAGTTGCAGGAGTAGAATCTCCATCCCCAGGACAGCAGTAGCAGCAGCGGAAGGCAAGTTCGTTACTACCCTCTGCCGTCCTCCTCGCAGTGGACAGGTCACAGGTACGCGAGAGCCGATAGCATTGCTGTGCTACGTACCGTGTTCCCTGAACCCAACGCACCCCATCCGAATCGCGCGTGTATCGAGAGGTGCTGTATGGAAAGATAGCTAGCCAGTAGGGTGCTACTTACCGACGACGCTACGGTGCTGTACTTCGCCCACCTACCGTGATCACCATGTGTAGTGTTACTTGGTGGAAGATGCTGGTACTGCCTTCCATCTCCTCCGTTCTTCTGGGATTGCACCCCAGTTTGTTTGACTTGACAATGTTCCCCCTTCGACGATTCCTGTCCATCCCCCTCCCCTCCATTCCCCTCCATTCTTCCAAAATCTTGAGGGCATTTACTCACACGATGACCTTTCCAACTTCTCTGTGGTCGTGTTTGCAGGTCTGGTGCATCCAGCCTTCACCGTAAAGCTTAGCAGACAGATCCTCCAGGAAAGACGTCACGTACGTCACGTCAGTACGGCCTCGGTTTGAAACCGCTTCGTGCATTCTCACAATCTTGCTCGTTCGTTCTTCGTCGTTGGCCATAGGTTTTCATTGTCGTTTCCTCTGTAATATGTCATTGTGCTTCCTGTCCCCGAACTACCAGGTTTCCCGTAAGTTAAGCGCTCCAAACCTTCATTATGACCGTATCGGACCGGCGGCGAAACTGGTCGTTCGTATCCGTTCACTGGCACGATATGTGTCGTTGTCTTGGAGGATAGATGGTAGCCCGATTCCCCGCCTGCTTGCTCGTCGCTTGCTCTCCCTTTCGTCCCTGCTCACTCGCTGGCTTGCTCCCTTTCTAGCTCTCGTTTCTTTTTTTTTTTTTTTTCTTTTTTTTTTTTTGCACTCGTTCCCATTTCCCCATGCACGCGAAGGGCCGCCTTCTTCACGTCCCTATTTCCCCATGCACGTGGCCAAATTGCATCGACCATCGACGAAGTCCACGTGTGATGCATGCCCATGCTCGGTGTGTGATGCTGCATGCACGTGTTATTTCGCTATTCTGCTGCTATTCCTTGACCACAACACTTTGGACAATATTCTGTTTCTCTGTTCTTCCTCCCCTCTCTCTCGTTCGCGTTGTTGCCTGCGGGCTGCGTCGTTTGCATTTTTCTGTTTTCCCCTGTCTGACTAGCTGATTGTTTGTCTCTTCAAAAAAATACGCTCTCGGAATCTCGAGGACCGGTCTTCATGCTGTTCGTCTCATCATGCATCTCTCTCTCTCTCTCTCTCTCTCTCTCTCTCTCTCTCTCTCTCTCTCTCTCTCTCTCTCTCTCTCTCTCTCTCTCTTTCTCTGTGTTTGTGTGTGTGTGTGTTTGCCTTTTTGTATGGCAACATAATAAACTTTTCGCATCCTCACATTATCATAATGGCTTTCTTGGATGTACGTTTGACCGGTTCCGTTACGTCCACAGAGAAGTTCGGACACCTTGACGTTCCGTTCCGTTCCGTTGCGTCCACAGAGAAGTCCGAGTGTGAGTATGCCTTAGTACGCCATGATCGAACTTTGCATACTGTAGGGGGTGGCGGCAATCGTACTTGTGATAGCCTAAGGTTCTCGACAAATCAGATCGCCATTTAATCAAGGAATTAGTGGAGTGAAGAATTCCAATTTCCAACTGTAGTTGATTGCTATGGCCATTGATGATTGACCTGCTTTTCTGAAAATGCACAATGCCATGGAGAATGCAATTATGGAGTCGCGTGATGGCCTCGAGTGATATTAACTGACGTCCCGGAGTCTTTTTTTTTCTTTTCTTTTTCGTGACCTACTTTATTGCTGTTGCCTAACTTGTCAATTTCTTTGCTTACGATTCTTCTCTGTGTATCGCCAAAGGGAAACCGGCCCGCCCAGCCCACGATGCAATTTCCAAACTTGGGATTATTGCCGAAACACCCCCATCAAATCTATCTATCTATCTATCTATCTATCTATCTATCTATCAAATCTAGGGGTAATTGCAAAAATAGCGCGTTTTCAAAGTTTTGCAGCAGAAAGGTTCTACGGGTCGGAAAGATCTATTTTCGCAAGCAAAGTGGGACCCCGTCTGCTGGGAAGTGTTTTTGCTGTGAGACTACCGGGACCTCTAAAGCTGCAACGAAAAATATATATTTTGCAAACAAACTTGGGGCACGAGTCGCACGACAATATTTTCACAGCTGTGAAACTACTGCGCGGCGAGTCACTATTTTTTAAACTTACCCATCAATCAATCTATCTATCTATCTATTTATCTCGGGGGGACCAACGGGGCCTGCTATCTCTAGGTAGCCGGTGCCAAGCTTGCCAAGGAAGGTACATGAGGCCATGGGGATTGAACCCAAGACCTCCTGGATGCCATTTGCGTGCCTTACCAACTGAGCTAGGCAGCTGGATGTATCTGTTAACCCCTGCAAAAGGGRGGGACCTTGCCTTTTTTTTTTTTTTTTTTTTTTTTGAATGGCTAGTTCTTTAAGCCCAACCAATTGAATTACCTTTCGAATCTGGACAGGACGGCCTTTCTTCTTGTCATTAAAGCCTTTATCTATGAGACTATGATATTTACAGTCTA